GTCAGGTAGATTATTCGGCGCCTGACCAGTGAAAGTGGGTTTTCTCGGGGTACTCCCGTTTCCCCCCACAGCAAAATTCTGAGAATTGGACCATAGTCCTCATCCTAGCCCTGAAAAGGACCGACAGACGGCCTCCTCCCCCACCCAAAAGTTTTAGCTCTAGTGCTTTATCCCACCCGAGACATCCTCGAAGGCGCCGCTGCCTGATTTTCTAAGCTTAATGTATGCTCCAGGCCCAGTCAAACTATGATACTCACGAATATGTACATCCCTCACCAAGCAGCGGGGTTGAAGAGAAGCGGAAGAAAGCTTCTGAACACCCCTGGTTGTCCTCAAACACGTTGAGGTTGAAAGGACGTAACCAAAATTACCACCCAGAGTATAAGTACACACACTTTCGAAACGTCGTCCTCTACATTTGTAGGTTTCTACAACAGGAAATTGCTGTCCATTTTAAACTTAGATTCATTAAAACTACCTTGCATCACATTATTTCTACAGGCGCACACTAAGCTAATCTTGGCCCAGTAGTACTGTACTTGGCATTTTACATATAGGAACAAAAAGACAACTGATCCAGGTATGTGGACAGACAATATCTTGGCTCATTAGTTTAAACTAGTGTGCTTAAAACTGGTTTTGTGACCAATAAAATGCTCCTGTGAATATGAAGAAGACCTCTGACACCAATGACCAAACTGTTCACAGCTGTTGTAAATGTCTCTTGTTTTTCTCTTGCTGTATATCCAAGTATTTTGCCATCTGAGTCATTGACATAACTGGAGCAGCAGGTCAAAATATTTCTTCTATTAAGCTTGCAGTCACTGTTGTCACCCATTGTTTAGGTGTGTTGCACCATCTTTTGATATTTTCATAACTTGGTGCTGATTATGTCGGAGACTGGATCTTTGGTGAAGCCACTGAAGGAGTTGTTTCAAGTTTTCTCTACTTAAGCCAGTTGTCTGAAATTACCACCTCATACTTTATCATTACAGACCCGGTTATAGTTAGACACTACATCTCTGTTACCAAGTGGTGTCACACGGACTTATAGGAAGTCTCTCCATGAAATTATTGATAATGAACTCTTTTGACTGCCTTCATGCGCTCTTCCTCAGATCACACAGTTTACTGTAAACTGTTTGTTTGTTTTTACTGGTTGTAGACTATATTATCTGACGAAGTGCGCTAGCTCGAAACGTCATTCTTCTTTAAATATAAATATATAAAAACTTGGCGATTGTTCAATCTATTATTTAATGTTGATCTTTTCGTCGCCTATGCGGTTTTAACTATATTTGTCTTGTTATGTAAAGATCACAGCTTATCAGCTTACAGGACTAAGTTTTCATGGCTCTTAGATTCATGAACCTTAAGATCAAGTACAGTAAGAAACTATTTTGCACCTACTGGAACCAATGATGTAACTCTGCTGCAAAGCTGTTTCAGTTCCAAATGTCCCACAACATCAAGTGACTGACTATCAAAACTGAAAAGTAAAAATGCATTGCTTGTTCCTGTGTATATGAATACCAAGTGACAACTGCTTGATTCTCTGAACATTTTGAAGATGGTGATGTAATCTGTTTTACTTTTCTACTTCCTTCCAGACACAGCAACTATCTATTGCTCACTTCTTTTATCATAAGTGATTCTGGAGACAGCGTCAACAAAGGCAATGATTCTTCTTCTGTGCATTCCTCCTAACAACAGGCCCGTTCTCATGCTTGCTATAGAGCCCGTCACACGTCACTGGCAACATATCTCTGTGCCAGATAATATGAAGTTTTTCTTGTTGTTTGATGTAAATGTTTCTCCTCTCTGCATGAGAAGGCTCTTTGTTGCCTTGGAGACAAAAAAACGTGTCATTCTGGTGGTTACACCACCTCATGAAGGAGAGAATAATTTGGCAAGTATCGTCCACCCTCTATGAACAGTCTATTAGCATCATTAGGGGTTCACCTAGCATGGGGTCTGAGGAAGCTGGATGCTGATATAGTGGCTGTACAGATCCATTAATATATTTCAATACGTATGTGACCAGTAATCTCATCTTGGCTGCTTTCTGAATGTTTTATTTATTTCTTAAAAAAATGACTAAAACATATTGGGACTTTTACTGCACTTTTGGGCAACCTCTAAGTTATCATTATATAAAATTCGATGACTGTTGAAATAGATTAAAAACACAACTGTACTTCAAAGAACACAGTAGGTATGTTTATCGACAAATCAGTAAGGGGTTGTATCTGTAAAATGTTGTTAAGTCAGACCGAAACTCTTGGACAACATCTTACAATCCTATATTACATTTTACATATTCACTATCTTCCACTAACATTTGTTCATCACTCTAATTGGATTAGACACATACGCCAGAGAAGTGGTAACACAGATGAATGTTCAAGCTGAAAGTTGCAATGTACTAAATTAAACATAAGTTTGTATGTGTTTCTGTAATTTACAGTAATTTGCAGCACCAAGTCTAAATAATTCCACGTGCATTTTGTTATTTGTAGCAGTGTACAGATGAATATGTAACATTTCTTAAACACTAATAACTACATTGGACATATGTAATAGATATGGTACATGAAGCTTTACATGTGACAGTTTTGCTTCTAGGTAATATCTCTACTTCAGATTGAGATCTGGAATTCTCATAGAAGCATTTTTTTGTTGTTTGTCTGCTAGTCATAGTTAAAAACTATTTATTATTCATTTTAATTATTGATGTAGATTTTTATCAGCTTTTCTAGTAAAGGTTATTATACAACACTACAAAATGACCTTTGTAGTTTTTAGTCCTAGCCCGAAACAAGAATTAATGGATTAATGCAATTATTTAACTATTAATGTACTATTCACAAGGATACTATATATATATATATATACAGAGCAAATACAAAATATTTGAAAAATTACCTGAATAAAGGTACATTCTTATCTAGTTACATAAAAGGAAAATCATGCAGGTTCCAACTACTATGTCTGTTTGTTAAATATACATCATTTTTTTATCGCTCGTCAATAATGAATCGTGGGGATGCCTTCCTGAAAGGTCTTATCATCTCTGGAGTCCTCAGCGGGTCTGATGTTTTCCTGTTGGTAGGAGGACTATTCATTAGTACGTCTTCACTAGTAGATGATGTTTCCAAGTTTTCTGTTGATACTTCATTTGGCAAAGGGCGATCTGTTACGTCGCTGGATAGAAAGTCATCATCTGGAAAAATGTGACAGTCAAAAGGATATATGCCGGAAACTTGAAAACCTTTCTTGATATTTTCTGGAGTAAGCGCTCGTGTAAGGCTTTGATTTACTAAGGTTGGTATGTCATAAACGCATATTGTTTTTCCAGGATTGTTCTTTAGCCAACCGTCAGCTGCTGCGTTATAATACTTCTTGAAAGGCCCGTATATACTTCTATCCAGGGGCTGTAATCTGTGTGAACAGTGAGGCGGGTACGAGAGAAGATTTATATCATTTTCCACACAATGTTATCGTATATTAAGAGGTATTAACTATCGAAGTCTACAACTAATAAGAACAGTATCAAAACACAGTATATAAAGAGTAAATAGATATTTCCTAGACATTTTTTTTAGTTTAGGTATGCAAAAACAGAAAATGTACATACCTTTTTTATTTCGTGACTGATCTTATTCATGCCATCATTAAAACAAAGCTTGCGCAACACGTGTTCGATGGTCCATGAACTATCGTCGTCTATTAATCTCAAGAAGAGCTAGAGGCACTGTATCAACTTGCCCCTGTAACAACTAGCCCCGGTCTCCCCTATATGATTTGATCATATACATCAACAATTCACTGATTCCTGAGATAAGCGTGACAATGAAGATAAATGGTTTTCACACATATGTTACTGTTTGTCAACAGAATTGGTAGGGGGAACATAGAAAAAAGTAAAGACTGAAAACTTTACAAAATATGGTTTATGCCTAAGTACATATGTGTGTGTGTGTGTGTGTATAATTAAATGTAATTTTACGGAAGAAAAAGAAACAAGATCGCAAACACAATACAAACATCCAACACCGGGGCATAATTATAACGTGGGTCATTATATGATGTACCATGGTATTTTTGAGATGCTGGCGGAAGTAAGACCCAAATTGCGTTGAGGTACACGGTCTATCCAGTTTAACCTTAAATTCGTAGGCCTCACATGACTAAGAAAATAAATGGAGCAGATGTGGCTACTCTAACCCACAACGTCCCACATCTTTATCACCTTTCGTTATCTGCAGCCAGATGTGGGTGTTATAACCCACAGCGTCCTACATCTTTACCACCTTTCACTGTCTGCAGCTAGATGTGGGTACTCTAGCCCACAACGTCCCGCATCTTTACCACCTTTCACTGTCTGCAGCTAGATGTGGGTACTCTAGCCCACAACGTCCCGCATCTTTACCACCTTTCACTGTCTGCAGCCAGATGTTGTAGTTCTAGCCCACAACGTTCCATATCTTTACCACCTTTCGTTGTCTGCAGCCAGATGTGGGTGCTCACTAACGTATAATAAAATAAAAGTAAGAAATAATATAATATAAGATATCAATGGGAGAGACAGCAAAACTGTCCTTGAAGTTAGCATTCCAGTCTCCAATATGATATTTGGACATAAATACCAGGATGTTAAGGTATTATTATACTAAGCCCAACCAATAATATCAGTATAGCTCTCATCCTCCACCCCTTCCATGCTACTATTCGGACCTTCAGTGGCTCTAAAGAGATGCACACAGTAGCAGGTCTTATATAGGGAAGATGATACAACTACATTAATCTACCTATATAAGATATATATATGTGTGTGTGTATACAGATACAGTAATACCTCGATATGCATATATTCGATGAATGAAGTTTCAGTTTAACGAACTTGGGATTTTTTACCATTATTTTACACAGAAAGCTGAAAATAAAGTAAAGTTATAAATAAGTACACTAAAAAGAATAAATAAATAATAAACTTATTGATCTACAGTATAATATAAATAAGAATAAAATTATAATAAGATATCGATTTTTAAGCGCGGTGCATCGAGATGGACATATATTGTTTGTTAACATTTGCCTAAGCTGTCAGGTTTTATGTGTTAGGCAGAGTTCTTCACAATAGGTGTCTGTGACTTGTTAGCGATAAATTTCACTAAACAAACGGCATACACTCCACTTGTTTTAAAATAATATATATATGATAAAACAAGTTAATGGTAAGTTATGAAATGTTTATAGTATGAAATGGTAAGTTACGAACGCATCCTTATAGTAATAATGTTATAAGTTATTCAATATACGAACGAATCTCCAAAAACACATCTACTTTGTACATGGAGGTATTACTGTATATGTTCCTCTTCGGATTTATAACGCTAAAATCATGGGTTCGATTCCCCCCGGTGGACACAGCAGATAGCCCGATGTGGCTTTGCTATAAGAAAACACAAACATAC